GATGCTACCAAGCGAACTGGAATCCAAACTTTTCGCCGTGAACATGATCGATTCTGGATTCTTGCAGTTCACCCTGAGATTAATTTACTTGCAGCAGGACATGACAATGGTATGATTGTCTTCAAACTTGAGAGAGAACGTCCTGCATTTGCTTTGAGTGGTGATTCATTATTCTATGCCAAGGATAGATTTTTGCGGTACTATGAATATTCAACTCAAAAAGATTCCCAAGTTATTCCTATACGGCGTCCTGGTACCCCAAGCTTGAATCAAAGTCCTAGGACTTTATCGTACAGTCCGACAGAAAATGCAGTCCTAATCTGCTCAGATCTGGATGGTGGTTCTTACGAGTTGTACATCATACCGAAAGATAGCGTTGGCAGGAGTGACGTTGTGCAAGATGCAAAGAGGGGGACAGGGGGTTCTGCGGTGTTCATTGCTCGAAATCGGTTTGCTGTGCTCGAGAAAAGCACCAGCCAGGTGCTAGTGAAGAATCTAAAGAATGAGGTGGTTAAAAAGAGTTCTCTGCCTATTCCCACAGATGCTATCTTTTATGCTGGGACTGGAAATTTGCTTTGTAGGTCTGAGGATAAAGTGGTTATATTTGACCTTCAACAAAGGCTTGTTCTTGGTGAGCTTCAGACACCGTTTGTTAGGTACGTTGTTTGGTCTAACGATATGGAGAGTGTTGCTTTGCTCAGCAAACATACTATCATTATTGCGAGCAAAAAACTTGTCCTCCAGTGCACCCTTCATGAGACAATACGTGTGAAAAGCGGAGCCTGGGACGACAATGGTGTCTTCATTTACACAACTCTGAACCACATCAAGTACTGTCTTCCTAATGGAGATAGTGGAATCATCAGAACCCTGGATGTCCCAATCTATATCACCAAGGTGTCTGGAAATACAATCTTTTGCTTGGACCGGGATGGGAAAAACAGGGCTATCACAATTAATGCAACCGAATACATTTTCAAGCTTGCACTGCTGAGAAAGAGATATGATCATGTCATGAGCATGATAAAGAACTCCCAGCTATGTGGACAGGCTATGATCGCTTATCTTCAGCAGAAAGGCTTTCCTGAAGTTGCCCTCCACTTTGTTGAAGATGAGAGGATCCGATTCAACTTGGCTCTTGAAAGTGGCAACATCAGTGTAGCTGTTGCATCCGCTACAGAGATTAATGAGAAAGACCACTGGTATAGACTCGGAGTGGAGGCTCTTCGTCAAGGAAATTCTAGAATTGTTGAATTTGCATACCAGCAGACAAAGAACTTTGAGAGGTTATCTTTTCTATATCTCATTACTGGAAATTTAGACAAGCTGTCAAAGTTGATGAAAATTGCAGAGGTGAAGAACAATGTAATGGGTCAGTTTCACAATGCTCTCTACCTAGGAGATGTTAAAGAGCGTGTTAAGATACTAGAGAATGCTGGTCATTTGCCTCTAGCTTATATCACAGCTTCGGTTCATGGTTTAAATGACATCGCTGAGCGACTGGCCATTGAGTTAGGAGACAACGTGCCCTCATTGCCTGAAGGGAAAACTCCATCGCTTTTAATGCCACCGCCTCCCATCATGTGTGGTGGCGATTGGCCTCTTCTGAGAGTGATGAAAGGAATATTTGAAGGAGGGCTTGAGAGTGCAAACCGAGGAGGGACTGTTGATGAAGAAGAAGAAGATGTTGAAGGCGACTGGGGTGAGGGACTTGATAAATTCGATGTTGATGGAATGGAGAACACAGACATTGAAGCCATATTGGATGGTGTAGAAGCAGCTGAAGATGAAGACGATGAGGAAGGTGGATGGGGGGGACTTGAAGACTTGGAGCTTCCACCAGAGCTTGATACTCCTAAAGCCTCTGCTAACGCACGTTCATCTATTTTTGTGACACCTACTCAAGGTATGCCCGTAAGTCAGATTTGGAGCCAGAAATCTTCCCTTGCTGCTGAGCAGGCTGCAGCAGGAAGCTTCGACACTGCAATGCGTTTGCTCCACAGACAGCTTGGCATTAAAAACTTTGCACCTTTAAAATCGATGTTTCTTGATCTGTTCAGTGGGAGCCATAGCTATCTGCGTGCCTTTTCTTCATCTCCTGTGGTTCCTCTTGCCATTGAGCGTGGATGGAGTGAGTCTTCCAGTCCTAACGTCCGTGGCCCGCCAGCTCTTGTTTTCGATTTCTCTCAGCTAGAAGCGAAGCTCAAATCCGGCTACAAAGCCACAACAGCTGGGAAATTATCTGAGGCTCTCCGTGTCTTCCTTTCTATTCTCCAAACCATCCCATTGGTGGTAGTTGAGTCAAGAAGAGAAGTCGATGATGTTAAGGAACTGGTCATCATTGTCAAAGAATATGTCCTCGGTCTTCAAATGGAGCTCAAGAGGAGAGAGATGAAAGATGATCCGGTGAGGCAGCAAGAGCTTGCTGCTTACTTCACTCACTGTAAACTCCAAACACCTCACCTACGGCTCGCGTACTTTAGTGCAATGACCGTCTGCTACAAGGCAAAGAACATGGCTACTGCTGCCCACTTCGCCAGAAGTTTGTTGGATACAAACCCTACTATTGAGAGCCAGGCCAGGACGGCTAGACAAGTTATGCAAGCTGCTGACCGCAACATGACAGATGCAACCGCGCTCAACTACGACTTTAGAAACCCGTTTGTGATATGCGGGTCCACTTATGTGCCAATCTACAAAGGACAGAAAGATGTGGCATGTCCTTACTGCACTGCCCGGTTTGTACCAAGCCAGGAAGGCAACATCTGCTCGGTCTGTGATCTTGCAGTCATTGGCGCAGACGCATCTGGTTTGCTATGCTCTGCGTCTCAAGTCCGGTGAACAAGTCAGATTGATTATGTGCTTCAGTCGTGAGGTAAGTACGAGATGCTCTTTTTATGGAAGAAGAGTGTTGAGCTTTTGGTGTTTGTGAATTTTCCGCCTGCAACTTCTATTACTCTCTTAAGTCTTAAAGTTGTTTCTTATCTTAGCAACAACGCATGAGAACTATATCTTCATTTTGTTTGATTTTGTTTTTACAGTCTCAGGACATTTCATTTAGGCTTATCGGATTTTAAACTCGATCATTATGTTGAGAAATATAGACGTAATATTTTATAATGTTTCCATTTTCTTTTCGTAAATTTTCAGTTGATGCATAACTACTTTTTTCAAAATACTTTTAAAATTATGGAAAATGTCAGAGAAATACCCATCGAATAGAAGAGCCTCCAATAAATGTGGTTAGTTAGATGAATCGTTAAGGCTGTGTGGTAGATAAGCTCACCATTCCATCTGAGTGGGTAACGGACCAACTCTCAAAATGACTGGATCACGACTGCCTCTTTACTCTTTTGCTGTTTCTCAATTTGTCCGGTCGCATCGCATGATTCTCTTCGATTTGAGTGTGAGATAATTTTAAGGAGGACTCCCCACATTTGTCTTCAAAAACTATTCCGATCATGTAGTTGCTTCATGGATCCTCAAAGCAACTACATGAACGCTTCACTAGCTAAACATGACCGCGATAGTCATGCCTCCGGCACACGGATGATGGAGTTTTGTCCACTGGTCAAATTGCTTTCCACAAGCTTACCAAATTCCGGATAAACTGAGTTCTATGATGAACACCATCCATATCGATTTAACTCGTTTGACGAATCTCAAAATTTCTCGTCCAAAACAATATACAAAACCTTATAAAAATTAATGATATAGATATATATGCAAGTTTAATTCTCATGTTTAGATGTGGACATTTCGGTTCTAACAATGGTTTGGGTTTATTCGATTAGCTGGTTTGGTTCGGATCAATTAAAATCTCTGTAGTGTTTTTTTTTTTTTTTTTTTTTGGTAAATAATATCCCTGTAGTGTTTGAATTATCACAAAAGGAAATGCTTATATTTCAAAACTATTTTTAGTCAAAAAATCAAATGATAATTATTCCTTAGATATGAAGAAAATAATTAGAAAATGATGGTATCATTAGACCAATAAGAGTCCGTTATTTCGTGTCCATCTCTGTATGTAAGTTGTTGTTAGTCCCAATTTGCCATGAGAACTCGACAATAGTCTCTGTATCAGAGCAATTCACTCAATTCTTTACGAGGATTCACATTTAACCCATCTTCTTCTTCCTCTCCTTCTTCTTCATCTGTAGAGTTGTTCTGTTTCGTTATCGGAGAACGGAGATTATGTTGACCAAGTTCAAGACCAAGAGTAACAGAGTTAAAGGTCTGAGCTTTCACCCTAAAAGACCATGGATTCTCGCCAGTTTACACAGTGGTGTGATCCAGCTCTGGGATTACCGTGTGGGTACCTTGATCGATAAGTTTGACGGGCACCAAGGACCTGTTCGTGGTGTTCATTTTCACACTTCACAGCCTCTATTCGTCTCTGGAGGTACATGCTTTCTTCTGTTCTTCTATAGTTTAACATAAAGTTTCGTCCTTTATCAATTTCTCTACTTATGGGCATTCTTGGTTTGGTTGATATTTGTTATGTGTTGCATTAAAATGAATGATTTTAATGCTGGTCTATTATCTTAATCTTGCAGGGGATGATTGCAAGATAAAAGTTTGGAACTACAAAACACACTGGTGTCTTTTCACTCTTCTTGGACATCTTGATTATATCCGCACGGTTCAGTTTCATCACGAATACCCATGGATTCTGAGTGCCAGTGACGACCAAACTATCCGTATATGGAACTGGCAATCACGGACTTGTGTCTCTGTCTTGGCTGCTCACAATCATTATGTTATGTGTGCTTCTTTCCACCCAAAAGATGACCTTGTTGTATCAGCTTCCTTAGATCAGACTGTTCGTGTTTGGGAAATTGGTGCTCTTAAGAAGAAGACTGTATCTCCTTCTGATGATATCATGAGGTTGGCTGAGATAAATAGTGATCTTTTTGATAGTGTTGATGTCACAGTCAAATACGTCCTTGAAGGTCATGAAAGAGGTGTAATTTGGGCTGCTTTTCATCCCAACCTGCCTCTTATCGTCTCGGGTTCAGATGACCGCCAAGTAAAGCTGTGGCGTATGAATGGTAAATTATTTTATGTTATCAATCGTCAATGGTATCTTGTTTGTAACCTTTGTGTATGTCTTAATTCTTAGATGTATCTCCTGATAGCGGAATTGAGTTAGTAATGCGTTCTTTTCAATTTCATTGTAGAAACTAAAGCTTGGGAGGTGGATACATTGCGAGGTCACATGAATAATGTTTCATCCGTTATGTTCCATGCAAAACAAGACATAATTGTATCAAACTCTGAGGATAACAGCATCCGTGTCTGGGATGCTACCAAGCGAACTGAAATCCAAACTTTTCGCCGTGAACATGATCGATTCTGGAGTCTTGCAGTTCACCCTGAGATTAATCTACTAGCAGCAGGACATGACAATGGTATGATTGTCTTCAAACTTGAGAGAGAACGTCCTGCATTTGCTTTGAGTGGTGATTCATTATTCTATGCCAAGGATAGATTTTTACGGTGCTATGAATATTCAACTCAAAAAGATTCCCAAGTTATTCCTATACGGAGTCCTGGTACCCCAAGCTTGAATCAAAGTCCTAGGACTTTATCGTACAGTCCGACAGAAAATGCAGTTCTGATCTTCTCAGATCTGGATGGTGGTTCTTACGAGTTGTACATCATACCAAAAGACAGAAGCGACGTTGTGCAAGATGAAATGCGGGGGAAAGGTGGTTCTGCGGTGTTCATTGCTCGAAATCGGTTTGCTGTTCTGGAGAAAAGCACCAGCCAGGTGCTAGTGAAGAATCTAAAGAATGAGGTGGTTGAAAAGAGTTCTCTGCCTATTCCCGCAGACGCTATCTTTTATGCTGGGACTGGAAATTTGCTTTGTAGGTCTGAGGATAAAGTGGTTATATTTGACCTTCAACAAAGGCTTGTTCTTGGTGAGCTTCAGATACCGTTTCTTAGGTACGTTGTTTGGTCTAACGATATGGAGAGTGTTGCTTTGCTCGGCAAACATTATATCATTATTGCGAGCAAAAAACTTGCTTTCCAGTGCATGCTTCATGAGAGAATACGTGTGAAAAGTGGAGCATGGGACGACAATGGTGTCTTCATTTACACTACTCTGAACCACATCAAGTATTGTCTTCCTAATGGAGATAGTGGAATCATCAAAACCCTGGATGTCCCAATCTACATCACCAAGGTGTCTGGAAATACAATCTTTTGCTTGGACCGGGATAGGAAAAACAGGGCTATCACCATTAATGCAACGGAATACATTTTCAAGCTTGCACTGCTGAGAAAGAGATATGATCATGTCATGAGCATGATAAAGAACTCCCAGCTATGTGGACAGGCTATGATCGCTTATCTTCAGCAGAAAGGCTTTCCTGAAGTTGCCCTCCACTTTGTTGAAGACGAGAGGATCCGATTCAACTTGGCTCTTGAAAGTGGCAACATCAGTGTAGCTGTTGCATCCGCTACAGAGATTAATGAGAAAGACCACTGGTATAGACTCGGAGTGGAGGCTCTTCGTCAAGGAAATTCTAGAATTGTTGAGTTTGCGTACCAGCAGACAAAGAACTTTGAGAGGTTATCTTTTCTATATCTCATTACTGGCAATTTAGACAAGCTGTCAAAGTTGATGAAAATTGCAGAGGTGAAGAACAATGTAGTGTTAAGATACTAGATAATGCTGGTCATTTGCCTCTAGCTTATATCACAGCTTCGGTTCATGGTTTAAATGACGTCGCTGAGCGACTGGCCATTGAGTTAGGAGACAACGTGCCCTCATTGCCTGAAGGGAAAACTCCATCGCTTCTAATGCCACCGCCTCCCATCATGTGTGGTGGCGATTGGCCTCTTCTGAGAGTGATGAAAGGAATATTTGAAGGAGGGCTTGAGAGTGCAAACCGAGGAGGGGCTGTTGATGAAGAAGAAGAAGGTGAAGGTGAAGAAGAAGAAGGTGAAGAAGAAGAAAAAGAAAAAGAAGAAGAAGAAGAAGAAGATGAAGAAGAAGATGAAGAAGAAGAAGAAGATGTTGAAGGCGACTGGGGTGAGGGACTTGACATGGTAAATATTGATGGAATGGAGAACACAGAAATCGAAGCCATTTTGGACGATGAAGAAGATAACGACGGGGTTTGTGAATGGGGAGGAATCGGAGACTTGGATCTTCCAACAGAGTTAGACTCTCTGAAAGTCTCTGTTAGCGCATGTTCATCGGTTTTTATTACCCCTACACAAGGCATGCCCGTAAGTCAGATTTGGAGCGAGAAATCTTCCCTTGCTGCTGAGCAGGCTGCAGCAGGAAGCTTTGACACTGCAATGCGTTTGCTCCACAGACAGCTTGGCATAAAGAACTTTGCGCCTTTAAAATCGAAGTTTCTTGATCTGTTCAGTGGGAGCCATAGCTATCTGCGTGCCTTTTCTTCATCTCCTGTGGTTCCTCTTGCCATTGAGCGTGGATGGAGTGAGTCTTCCAGTCCTAACGTCCGTGGCCCGCCAGCTCTTGTTTTCGATTTCTCTCAGCTAGAAGCGAAGCTCAAATCCGGCTACAAAGCCACAACAGCTGGGAAATTATCTGAGGCTCTCCGTGTCTTCCTTTCTATTCTCCAAACCATCCCATTGGTGGTAGTTGAGTCAAGAAGAGAAGTCGATGATGTTAAGGAACTGGTCATCATAGTCAAAGAATATGTCCTCGGTCTTCAAATGGAGCTCAAGAGGAGAGAGATGAAAGATGATCCGGTGAGGCAGCAAGAGCTTGCTGCTTACTTCACTCACTGTAAACTCCAAACACCTCACCTACGGCTCGCGTACTTTAGTGCAATGACCGTCTGCTACAAGGCAAAGAACATGGCTACTGCTGCCCACTTCGCCAGAAGTTTGTTGGATACAAACCCTACTATTGAGAGCCAGGCCAGGACGGCTAGACAAGTTATGCAAGCTGCTGACCGCAACATGACAGATGCAACCGCGCTCAACTACGACTTTAGAAACCCGTTTGTGATATGCGGGTCCACTTACGTGCCAATCTACAAAGGACAGAAAGATGTGGCATGTCCTTATTGCACTGCCCGGTTTGTACCAAGCCAGGAAGGAAACATTTGCACAGTCTGCGATCTTGCAGTCATTGGTGCAGATGCTTCTGGTTTGCTATGCTCTCCGTCTCAAGTCCTATGAAGAAATTAAGATTCATATCTTGGAGAGTTCTTGAGGTCCTCTGCATCAGTGGACGAGTTAAGTTAGAGACTCAAAATACAAAATAATTTCTTTTGCCAAAGTTATATAACTAATTATTTTTCTTCCTATTTTTTTTTTCTGATGTAGTAAGTTCTTACTTGTAAGAAATTCTTGGTTTCTAGGTTTTGATGACCATAGCATTTAGAATGACAATGCTTTCTCTCTGTTTTGTTGTCCTCTCTGTGTTTTGTTAGAATTACATATTAGCTAAAGTTATGTCATCATCATGTTCTTGGCTTATTTTCTGTTGGTGATTTGTGTTCTATGTTCTATATATATAGAGGCTGATATAGAGTGTGATGATGTAGCCTATATGGATGGTTTGAGAACATGATTCTCCAAATTTGTAATCGAATTACAAAAATTTGACACAACAATCTTGATTACACTTTGCAATTTGCAAGGAATATGAATAAAATTACGGCCGACAATAGTACAAAGCATCGATCATTTATAATTCATATAGAAAATTTAATACCATAAGAGCCCCACTCATCATTATAAGAAATTGTGGGATGGATATATTTATGTAACTCGATAGAATTATTCCATTGTTGGTATAGGTGGAGAAAAACCGGACAAACCTGCCGGAAAAAAAAAAAAAAAAAAAAAAGAATAAGCAAACCCCACAAAACAAATCATTACAAGAGTTATTGTGATATTCTGGGTATATATATATCTATGATTTTTGTCACTGAAAACATCTAAAAATGGCTAAGTTGCGAGATGCAAAATTGTTCTAAAATATTTGAAGGGAATCATCAATCTCTGGCCTAAATTCACATGAAAATTTACACCTCAAACGGAGACTAAACCACCAAACTTGATTAATAATGGTTGGGGTAAATTTCGTCCCTCTTCGTAGGTATTAACATAGGAAAACTACTCTCCGGAAAGATGATTTATTATCCTTATAAAATTCATGTTTATTTCCACAACATATATATATATATATATATATATATTTTATTTTTTAATTAATCAAAATTGCAATTGAACCATCATTTAGTATTGTAATTTTTGTTTGAGCCACTAAAACTATAGTTACCAATTAAAAAAATTAAATAATCGACAACTTTCCAATTATTCATAAAAGAAAGAAAAAAAAAATATAAAAAGGAATTATTCTCTTTCTGTTTTTGTACATAAAGAGGAAGCAAACAAAGAGAGCCAAAATGGTCGACCTCTTGGAATAATTATTTCTACTTAATTAATATATTCACACATATCATGCTTATATATATATATGTATATGATGAGAAGGTAGAGGTGACGATGATGATGATGATAATGGGAAGAAGGTGTGAAGATTGTGGTAATCAAGCAAAGAAAGAGTGTTTGTACATGAGATGCAGAACTTGCTGCAAATCCAAAGCCTTTCATTGCCAAACTCACATCAAGAGCACTTGGGTTCCTGCCTATAGAAGACCTCATCACAAACACCAATCGCAATCGCAACCGCCCTCTACTAGTAACCCAAAACGTATGAGAGAACATCAACGACTTTCAAATTCTTCTCCTTCATCATCAGGTTCTTATCTCCTAGTCTTATTCATGCTCATGCATGATTGTATTTCTTTTTATATATATCTAATTAGATCTCTCACCACATATATAACATTTTTGTTTTAGTTTATTGTATTCTTGATTTTTTAAGTAGATTAATTACCTAGTAAATATAAAGTACCTAATACTCTAATAGTCTCTATATGATCTTCGACAATATAGAGAAATGTCGTAGTCTTGTGTTTGTCACTCATTCATTCAATGGCTTACTTAAGAAAAAATAATTGATGCAAATAAAACTATGAAACAATAGTTGATCATAAAACAGAAGTATTGTATTGAAACATTCTTTCCTATTTTAGGTGTACAAATTCGCACTACTCTGGGACATTTTCCGGCAGAGTTGAGTTCTCTGGCTGATTTCCGATGCGTAAAAGTGAGTTCAATCGACGATGGAAAGGAGCAATACGCTTATCAGACGACGGTGAACATCGGAGGACATGTTTTCAGAGGGATTCTTCACGATCAAGGACTCGAGGAAGGGATGATAGATCATCATTATAATAAAAATAGTAATAATCATCAAGAGTCACTTCATCCTTCAACATCTTCATGTCCCTTGATGACCACTAGTCCTTTTACCGATTTCATGTCCCGTGCCCAATTTTCTTCGGTCCTAAGAAGATAGACAATTTCTATGGATATACTTCAAAATCTTGTAATCTAGTGGAATGATTGCTACTTCAAGTTATGGCTCATCGTATATTGTTACTTTTCTTGCTCTCATATATTACGTTAATTCATTAAAAAAATTATATAGTTGCGAAATTCGGATTAAAGCCCTAGTTTATGTGGATTTGAAGTCAACATTTCGTTTATTCTCTTTGGAAATACTCCTCCTCCCAAGGAAGATCGAGCAAGGGATACAATAGAATTAATTTCAAGTGCTAGCTAACCACTATTATGTCACACCCTTGCTAATTCAATTACACTAATATAATACCTTAATTGTTTAGTTCATATTCCATATTGTGTTTTTAATGAAATAGATCTACAAAAAAACAATCTAACACTATACAAAATACCAAAAAGAAAAGAAAAAAGAAAAAAGGAAGAAGAAAGAGTTGAACCTATAGAGCATAAAATTATTTGTATCTCCTAGCTCGACCCTGTAAAATCTAGCTAATCATACAAAAAAAATCTAGTGTATAGCTCCAAAAACATAGAAGAAGTACATAAATGATCAAATAAATTTAGTATATGGAGTACATATGAATATATGGTTATGCTAAATTTAGAGCATCTTCCATCTTCCAAAGTCTGAACTAAATGATTTGTGTCCATAATATTATAGACAAATGAGTATGATAACAGGTGGCCGTTGAGAGGAAATAACTTTTGTCTTTACCTATACTAAGCCTACTTTATTTACTCAATTACATCTTTGTCCTAATTATTTGTGCATGGATAATTTTTTAATGGTTAATTACATCAATAATCAAACTCATCAACCTGTTCATAATCTAACTATATATCACCAATAACTAACATTAACATATCCACAATAACAAAACAATTCATATATAGTCGTATCATACATGACCACGTCTTGTGAAGAATTAATCATAAGTTTTCATACATGACCACAGACCACGTCTTGGTAAGAACATTGAAGCTTGCATAAAAAGGCTACGTACGTATATCATATATGTGTGTTTGCAAGTAAAGAAAGTTAGGTGTGTCTTTTACTTAGATGTTCTTCTTGCTCAGGGTTTTAATTATTCGATTATATGTGTTATGTTAGTGAATCATTAGTCTTTAGCAACCCTTTTTTTATTAATTTTAGTTAAGTTTCCTTAAACAGGTGTCGAGATCGTACATTATATGGTGCGATTTTCCTTTTAGCATAAGCTTTTTGGAATGATTCCCTGCCATAAAAAGTGTTGTATCATTGTAGCAACAAATTTTAAGATTTTTAAATTAAGTTTAGTTAATGGGAATCACACCCTATATGATGTAGCCTATGCATGTAAAGCTAAGCTATAGATTAATATATCCAACCCGCAAGTTGAATAGATTAATATTTTCTTGGTTATTTATAAAAAGACCGATTAAGCATAGGAATAATTGGTGTTCAAAAAAAAAAAAAAAAAAAAGCATAGGAATAATTTAAAAAAAAAAAAAAGGAATGGTGGTTATTTATAAAAAGACTGATTAAGCATAGGAATAATTAAAACCAATGCTTAAAAAATAAAAATTATAAATTATAAAAAAAATGGTTTTATAGTATCATTGTGGATGTTAAGATCCACCCCGGATATGTTTGGTTGAGACAATAACTAAGTGTGGTTAATTAGATATTTGGGTTAAAAAGAAGAAAAGAAAAAATGTTTTCCTTAGAGTAATCTAATGTTCAAAGTCAAAAAAGAAGATTGTGACTGGCTAACTGTGGTTAATTAATTTGATATTTGGTGAGGTTAGAATGGATTCAAAGAACAGAAAAAAAGTCTTGGAATAGGATCGGAGTTCTCCAGGAGACGAGTGCGGTTGAGAGATTGTTTCCAATCAATCATAAGTCTTTTGGTAAAAAAATGAAAGTAATCTCCAACTTCATTTTTTGATACATATTTTCTTTGTAAGATATGTTTTTATTGTGTGACAATAATAATAATATTTCTCGAATATCAGCGTAAACTTTTTGTAGAAACCGTGACATACATTAATATTCCCACTTTGAGGTTCCTTTCATTAATATTAATTTAATATAGATTAGGTTTTTTTTAGTAGCGTGAATACTTATAAAAAATTTAGTCTATCAAAAGTTAAAATAATCTTTAAAATAGTTATTATAAAGGTTTAACTATGCCGTTAATGGTACGGTTAATTAATAGTTTTGATACGTTTACGGTTAATTAACGGTTTCGGTTAATATATTTTTTAACCGCAAATAATCTATTTTTACGGTTAATAGTTACAATTTTTAACCATATTATACGGTTAGAATTAAGAAACGATCCGATTACGGTATGAAATACGGTTACGGTTAGCTTTAATTCATGCCTATACTCAAAATATGATTAAATTGTTTTACTGTGCTAATGGCAATTTATTGGGCTAGAATCATTCGGGAAAGCCCGAGCTCCATATGGGCCGTAACAGAGAGACCCATAATCAAATCTGGAAACAAGGACAAAAGGGTAATTCAGACAACTCGTAATGATTCATGAATCATCATATGGTCAAAACTGTGATAAAAAGATAAAGTAGAATCTCATCTCTTTAAAAAAAAAACATTTAAAGTATAACACAAATACGTGGCAGTAACAACTTCACCAGACGACAACAAGAACAAAATAACCTCCTCTCGGAGATCGGAGACATGGCGGAGAGTCACGGTGGTGGTTGCTGTCCGCCGATGGATCTGATGCGGTCAGAGCCGATGCATCTCGTTCAAGTCATTGTTCCCATGGAATCTGCTCATCTTACCGTCTCTTATCTTGGCGATCTTGGCCTCGTCCAGTTCAAAGATGTACGTATATAGAGTTTACTCTCATCTCTCTCTCGAGATTGCTGTAGTTTTACTTATATCGGCTATTTTTGATGTTGATTCCAGCTTAATTCTGACAAGAGCCCATTTCAACGGACTTATGCTGCTCAGGTAACTTCATCTTTTATGGTTATCAGGGAAATGAAAGAAAGTTTGATCTTATAATGGTTTACTCTCCTTGATTGATGGATGAAGATTAAAAGATGTGGAGAGATGGCACGGAAGATACGTTTCTTCAAAGACCAAATGTCAAAGGCTGGAGTCACTCCCAAAGAGACCCTAGATAAAGATATTGATATTGATTTGGATGATGTAGAGGTTAGCGGAGATGCCTGCTTTTTTTTTTTGGGACATTATTTATGCTTCCCGTTTCTTCAATGCTTATTACTTTTTCTTATTCCTCCTTTTTCAGGTAAAGCTTGAAGAGCTAGAAGCTGAACTTGTTGAAATCAATGCTAATAATGACAAGTTGCAGCGTTCCTATAATGAACTTGTGGAGTACAAGCTCGTTCTTGAGAAGGTGATGTCCTTTCGTTTTATTAACATCACAGTGTTTGTAGATGTTGCATTGCCTTACATGTAGAGTCCTATTTTTTTCTTATTCGGGTTGTAACTCGTTAGACAGTTTTCTGGTTCTGTTCCTGAGGAGAAAAGTAGATACTTAGGCTACCACTCTTATATAAAATCTTTGTTCCACAGTGTTTTAGTGAGCGTAAAGGGTCTTCTATAGTGAAAAATGCATATATACTGTTATGGTTAAAGCGTTGGGTGTTCATCTCGGACTATATTTATGTGGATGTTTTGGTTTCAGGCTGGTGAGTTTTTTGCTTCAGCCCATAGAAGTGCTAACGCTCAACGGAGTGAGATAGAAACAGAACAAGTGAATGAAGACCTCCTGGAGGCTCCTTTGTTGCAGGAAGTATGAAAGCTGCGACTGTTTTCCTTCTTCAAGTTGTGTTCTTACAAAAATAGCCTTACTAACTTTCCCTTTTAACAGGAGAAGTCTGTTGATCCAACTAAGCAAGTAAAGCTTGGATTCCTCACTGGGCTAGTGCCTCGTGAAAAGTCTATGGTGTTCGAGAGGATCCTATTTCGTGCAACTAGGGGCAACATCTTCATACGACAGTCTGTCATTGAGGAGTCCGTTGTTGATCCCAACTCTGGGGAGAAGGTTAGTTGCTTATGTTCTGCCCGTATATTCTCCTAGAAATTGAAAGTGCGGCTTTTTTTCTATTGCAGGACTTCAGTTGCTTTCGTACTGTTTATAATGTCTATGTCCCCATAGGCGCATGCAAATTAAAGTTTTAAATTCTTTATGTAATTTCTACGTTCTCATATGCACTTTGTGGTTTTATCTCTGTTTTACTGATCTACTTAGCCAAGATATTGTTCTAGATGGAATCCTGGTTTTGTCAGAGAAAAATATACTCAATTCTGTTTGCCTCTGCTAGGAATTGACTTTTGATCTTAAATAATGTAACAGGCTGAGAAAAATGTATTTGTTGTCTTCTATTCTGGAGAAAGAGCAAAAAGCAAAATTCTTAAGATATGTGAAGCTTTTGGGGCCAATCGCTATCCTTTCAGCGAAGACCTGGGCAAACAAGCTCAAATGATGACTGAGGTATGTATTATCTTCTGATATATGAGTGACTTCACGATTTCTCTTCTGTCTCATAGTCATATGTTTCTATGCATTTCTTTTATCTGTACAACGTTTAGCTTTTTTTTCTGGGCATGAGTTACAGATGATAACCATATGGAGCTGTAGTCAATTGTTTTGAATAAGAACCAACAGTTAACAATTGATTTATAGATATCCTCTCTGCATAATGTTTATTGGGGTTGCATTTACTAATTTTATTTCTAGTCCTTGTAGATTTTATCCTCGCAGTAATTAGCATGTGATGGGAAGATAAGCATTTCTATGTTGAACAGTTGCTATATATCTTTGGAGTAGCGGTTAATAGGTCTCAGAGAGTGTTTTTGTTAAGATGGAGAAAAGCATGTTAGGGACCTTCCTTGTACCTTTATGTGGTCTATGTTCAGTTTGGAGCTTTCTTTAGATGGGATATATTTGTGAGATATATTTGTGCACAGACGGTTAACATCCATGGGAGAGTTCGTACATCTTAGGCCACTGATTTATCTGCTGTCAC